TTGCCGTTGTACTGGTAGCGGTACACGGCGAGAATGACGAGCAGCATGGTGCTCACGTGATGAATGAGCAGCGATTTCGGGGTGGCGATCTTGTAGGCAATCTCGTAGAGGTAGAGATTGACGAGGAAGACGGCGATGATGACGATGCCGCGGCGGGTGTCTTCATCCGGTGGGGAGGTCTCCCCGACGAAGAGGTAGATGCCGAAGACGAGCCATGGCACGAGGAGGACGGAGGTGATGATGAGTTCGCTTACGTAGACGAGGAAGTTTCGTTGCTGCAGCTTGGGCAGCTTCCGGAAGGGCTTGAAGAAGTGTTTGAGCCCCATCTCCAACGCTGTGAAGACAAAGTAGTAGGCCAGGAAGCTGTAGATGAAGCTGAACGAAAACGATTGCGGGTCGTACGCATAGATGAACGGCCGGCATGGCTCCGTCCCTCCACCGCTCGACATGACGACCACAACAAACTCAACTCGCGGTTTCTGATGGGTGTACACCCGTCGTGTCGTGTGTTCGTGGGTGCCGGAGTGAATGAATGAAGTTGAGTGGAGTGCTCGTTTGGTGGGGGTGTCTCGCCTTCCCAAACGCAGTTGTCTCCACCAGTGGGGAGACGAAGGGGAGGTACCGGCGTTGTTTGCGGAACCGGTTGGCGAGGACAGCCAATTGCGGAATGGCAATAAAAATTGCTAGTTGTCATTGCGATCTATCCAATCAACCTTTGCGCCCTTGTTGATCGGTCACAGGCGCACAACCTTGCCCCCGTCGAGCAACAGCTGCCCACCACCGCATAGCCCACCACCATCCCAAGGCGAAGGTAAGCACCGAGATAAGCGGGGGATGTCAGACCATCTTTTTTTGCTTCAATTTCGCAGCAAGCATGTTGGAGCATATTGGAGAGCCGATGCATTGCGGCACCGCCCTACCACAACAGCGTGCCCATGGCCTGTATGCCCCCCCACAACCCACAGGCGGGAAACACAGCAGGTTTCACGGGCAGTTATTTTTTGCTAGTTCTCTGGAATGCAAAAAATGATAAAAAAGAAAAAGGAAAAAGTGAGGAAAATGTGCCTTGTTTGCGATCGATCAACGAAGACGTCAGAGATGTATGAGGCCGGGCCACAGAGTTATTCGAATCCCTCCCACATGATGGGTGGTGCGGAGCATGACGGCGGTGGAGGAGGCAGCGAAGCAGACAAGCGCACATTGTGGGTGGGCGATATCGACCGATGGATGGATGAAAACTACATAGTAGCACTGTTCGGATCAGCTGCCGAGGTGGCCAACGTCAAAATCATTCGGGACAAAATGACGGGGCTGCCGGCTGGCTACGGTTTCGTAGAATTCAAGTCTCACGAGGGTGCTGCGCGGGTCCTCAACGATTTCAACAACGTGCCCATCCCCGGTGTCGGGCGTTCCTTCGCCTGAACTGGGCCACCTTTGGCATCGCAGCCAGGTGCGTGATCCTCCACAACTCCATCGTAGATAGATTATCTGTATTACCGTTATTATTATTATT